ATGTCTACCTCATTTGCAAAGAATTTCGCATAAAGGTGGTAGTCCAGGGAATGGAAGAGGTGGTAATCTGTCGTTGCAAGGTTTGGGAAGTAAGGTAGGTGGTACAGTGTCTTCCTGCAAAGTTGCCATATGGTATCCCTGGTTATCCATGCCACATGAGGCCTGGCATTATCATGGAGGAACAGTACACCCTTGTGATTAACAAATGCTGGTTTCTTCTGCTTCAGTACCTGTTACACATGTTCCAACTGCTGTGAGTACATGTCTGCAGTGATGGTTTGTTCTGTTGGTAGCAGCTCATAGTGTACCACATGTAGACTAGCCCACCAGATACAGAGCGTGATCTTGTGAAAGCGTAGGGGTGGTCTTGTAGTGTGAGGCACAAGGTCCTGTGAGGATAACCAATGTCTGGCACACTTGGGAATGTCATAGAGGACCTACCTTTTGTCACTGTGGAGCATTTGTGCAAATATGGGTACATTGCAGCACTGGGGAAGCAATGAAAAACAGGCTGTCACTTGTTGCTTATTGTTTTCTAACATTGTGTGAGGTATTCACTTGTTGAACTTGTATGCCTTCTCTATGAGGTGCTGGTGAAGTCTGAATGTTTCATCAGAAACCTGGATGTGTTTGGCAAGCTCACAACAGGTTTGGCTGTTGTCCTCTGTGACCGCCTTCAGGCCCTCATCACCTAGGCACAGGGGTTGATATACTGGTAAAACAACCAAACTAAATCATCATCTAGAACCTGTGGCTAGCCACTGTGGGGCTAATCAGTGACAAATCTCTCCACCTGAAATTTTCTAACCAGTGCCTGGCAATGTGTTCACTCACAGCATTATCCCCAAAGATGTGATGTGATTTGATGCAGCTGTGGACAAGCCCACCTTAAAGTAATAAAGCAGACAACCTCAAAAAAGCAGCTTCAACACTGGCATATGTCTTTGCCACTGCTTAAGCTATGACTGATGAGTGTGTGTGTTCAATACACCTGGATTGGTCATGAGCAGTGCCCCCACTCCCATCCCACCACTTTCCCCATACGTCATTTATTTGTCTATTAATGATCACTTCTTCCCATGTGATATAAAAAATGGCAAGGACTTTTTTGGTTACCTTATATGTTGGTTGAATATATCCATTGTCTTTTCTAAACTCTGAATCATATGCCACAAACCTGGCTGCTGCAAATGCCAGAAAATATCCAAAACCAAGTCTATGTTCAAGCTTTCAACTCAGATGAATCATCTTCCAGGGGTGTAAAAAAAAAAAAAGTAAAATGAAATAAAATAAAGTAAAGGAAAGAAAATCAAGTGTTTAAAGTGGTTTGGTTCTTTTTTTTTTTTTTTCTTTTTTTCTCTTTAAGTTTTTGACAGTGCCATATTTTTTGTTTGAAATTGAATCTGATAAATCAAAATGCAGAAAGTCATGTCAGCAACATGCAATTGTGTATCAGTCATGTGCATTGTATTTTTTTTTATATGCAATGAAGAATATACGATTGGCAGCTATAGTTATTATTATTAATGGATGGTTGCTTTTGTTGAATGTAAATAGCTTTGATAATTTTTAATGTTTTTTTTTTTTTTTTATCAATTGTCTCTATGGTGTATTATAGTATTATTAGAGAGGAACTGTTTAATATTATAGTTCTTGTGCTTATTAATGTGATAACGGGTTTGTATGAAAATAAAGACATTTTAAAAATGCAATGAAGATTTTCTATTTTCATTAATTCTTTTTCTGGGAAAAACATGACACAAGAATTACAAAGTTTAAATAATAAGTTTCCAAATGGAATATTTTTTACTATTCCATGAATTAATCCAAACAATATTGTCATACATACATACATATACATAAGGCATATTTTGGCAGCAAGATCTTGCAAACATGTTTTGTAAAATATGATGAACAAGTTCTGTCTGTCAATTTTTTTTTTTTTTTTTTTTTCCCCCAGAAATCTTTCAAATTTCTAAATAAGTTGTTTTGTGCTGTCATTAAAATTTTCAAAATTCATATTAACTTTGATTTTATATTATTTTTTCTTAAGTACTTTCGAATGTTACTACATACATTTTCAAGAATTGTTTTATGTGTAGTTATGCAAATAGTTTTTAATTTCAACATTCTCACATTTGATGGAACCCAAAAACATACACATAAAAATTTCAGTTTGATTTTATATGATGTCACCTTGAGTGACTTGAAATTGGTTTCAGCAAATGTGAGAACACCAGACTTAAAAACCAGTTGCGTAGCTACACAGAACAATCCTTAAAAATGAATGTAGCAACATTTGAAAGTACTTGCGAGTGGGATATAATACAAAATAAATTTAATATGAATTTTGGCAGATTTACCAATAACACAAAACAACTTATTCAGAAATTTGAAAGATTTAATAAAAAAATTGATAGAGAAAACTTATCCATATTATTTAACACACACACATATATATATATATATATATATATATATATATAAGTGTATGCAAAATAGGTTTGGAGATTACTGTGCCAAAGACAGATATATAAAAAAGTGCTCAATGCACTGTTCAGAAAATTGAACTATTTTATATATGTGTCTTTGGCATGATAATTTCCTGGCCTATTTTACATACATTTTACATTTAAATCTAGCTCTTGCTTAGCAGTCAAGTATTTATTTTACAGTGTGTATCTTTTATAATGCCCCATTTTTCTAATTAACCTGAAATTTATCAAACAACTACATTCTACAGTGTAGATCTTTTTTCAAACATTGCACTGGCACACACAAATATGCAAGAATTTAAAATCCAGCATTCATTGAAAAAAATATTCATATACATAGTAGGCATGAATATTGTTAAACAAAAAGAAACCTTTCTCACGAGAATGAGATGGAGGATTTAGTTTGCTTTGCAAAAGTATGCAAACAATAATGAATATATAAAAAAACCAGTGTTTAGGACTAGGAAATACCCCCTTGTAGTGGAAGATCTATCTAGCTTTGAAAAGGATTTAATTGTTATTATCGATAATATAAGGTTCAGGAAACAAAAGCAATTTTCAAAAGAACCTATCAGTGCAAATAAGAGAAATAAATATATATATATATATATATATATATATATATATATATTTTTGTAAAGGGCAATAAAACAGAAAAAAATATATATTATGAGTCCAGAAGTTTACAAAATGAAAATATGAAGACAGAATTGGGCATTATAAGCCAGAAAATTACATAAAATATATGCAAACTACTAAGAATAGCAATGCAGGTGAATCAGTGGAAGGAATCCAATGAATGCATCTTTTGGTTCAATAAGATTGAAGATAAGAAAAAAAAACAGGTATTTATCAAATATAATATAAATGTAATGCCAATCGACATCTTCTGATGCCTTGACCTTAATCCATGTTGTTTACTTTATCCTTTTCCCAAACATTCCTCTTTACTCTTACTCTCTATAACCCCTTGCATGCTAATAGCACTCTTTCCTTGCTTCAGGTGTTTTGCTTTAAAAAAAAAAAAAAAAAAAAAATTTTTATCCTACCATCACAAAGAAAGGATTATTACAAGCATTATATGATGGAAAAAATTTTGACATCATGCCAGAGCAGAGTGAGTTAATATTGTATTGCTGAAAATCTGTTTTGACCCATAATGGAGAAGCATGGGTGAAGAAGTCCAAAGAAGTAAACTTTGATTTTCCCCAAGGATCTTTCAATGGGGTAGAGATTTCTGAGCTGATGGGTATATTTATATTAAGTAAAATTAATAAAATTGTCCACATTGACAGCCATGGTATTTACAAAGATGAGGAACTAATTGTGGTGCCAAATAATAAAAGAGCTAATGATACCACCAGGAAAAAAACTCTTTAAGCTCTTAAATTTTGAAATCACTGGAAATGAACATAAAAATATTCAATATTTGGATAATGAATTTAATCTATTGGCCGGTACGGTTTCCCCAAATAGAAACCCTAACACAGTGTTAAAATATGTAAATTCGAAGTTGAATCACCCAGCGTGTGTAATTAAGTACAGATTAAAAGCAGATTGTCAAGGAAAAAAACAAGGGAAATATTTAACAAAAAAAAAAAAAAGAAAGAAAGAGGAAGACCAAGTGGGAGGGGGGCATAAATTGAGATTTATATTTAAACCCGTTGATTGATCAACAACTGAGGAATAACAGAATAAGAGAAATGTAATTTGTTTCACATCCCTCTTTAATCTGCAGGTAAAAACAAAAATATGAAAAATATTCTTTGGTTTAATAAGGAAAAAATTGTGTTGAATTTTGAACAGAAACATTGTGAAATTGAGTTACAGTTGCACTAGCAATTTAAACATCATCATAAAGAGGCAAAATGCGAGGAATTTGAAAGCTGATGCACAAAAAAGCAGTGAAAGCAAGAAGTTATGTAATTGCAGAAACAAAAATAAATGCCCTTTGAATGGAGCCTGCTGCACAGAAGGTGTAATTTATCAAGCTGAAGTTAATGATAGTGGACAAAAAAAGTTTATATTGGATGTACTGAGGGTACCTTCAAGAAATGCTGGTACAATCATGCTTCTTCATTTAACATACAAAACCATAGGTATTCTACAAAGCTGGGGGACTATGTTTGGAAGTTAAGAGAAAAAAAAATAGCAACAATCCAAGTGTACAGTGGAGTATATTGAGAAGCGTCAAATCTGGTAGGACTAGCAGCAGTAGCTGTAAATTATGCCAGGAAGAGAAGTTGGTGATTGTAATGCATCTGGATTGTGCAAAGTTGTTAAATGAATGATCAAAGATAATGTTGAAATACAGACACATTAACAAGTACATTCTTGGCCTCTATAAGCCCGGTTGAATGTGAATAAAGGCCTTGTATTTGGCAAATAAGAGTATATAAAAAGAAGTGGGGACTGAGGAGAAAAGAACATAGTATATGAAAGAACTGAATCATGTGACTTATCAACATGGTAATGCTTCCTAAAATTTTTGGGTTATACCACATGATATTAAAACACTAGTTCCTGTACAATCACAGAAGTTAAGCAACATTGAGCCGGGTCAGTACATAGATGGGTGACTGCCTGGAAATACCACGTGCTGTAAGTCTGAATGTGTATGTGGTGTAATGAATAACTGCTCAGAATTGTTAATTGGAGAGCAGAATTCCAGTTGAGTTCGTTATAATCACTTATGTACAAATACCCTTGGGAAAGGTATGAATTTACCTCTTCTCCCTCCATCTATGGGTTAATTAATAAAACTTATATCACTAAAACCATTATTATCCCCCAAAAATAAAATAAAATTGCGTACAAAATATTTAGATTTTGGCATTAAATAACTCATAGAGGTTGATATACTGCTAAGCAAAAACAACCTAAAGTTTTTAGACAATGAAAATGAACCTTTTCGTCCAAGTCATCATATTTAGTTAGTGGCAGGATGAAACCATAGTTATTCTAATTTTCTACCCATTGTACTTTGTAGTCATTTTGTAAACATTAAGCAGTGTACCAAAGAATTTTATACAGATTAATTTTTCTCTCTTAACTCTAAAAACAGCCTAGGTTATAATTTTTGTAAAAATCTAATGTAATTGAATTCTCAAAGAAGGCACTCACAAAAACAATAACTAAATATCAGAAGTAATAATATAAGATTGGCATTTGTCAGTAAAAGGGTTAAATATGTTTATCCACAAATGACAGATTTTTGTCCCTCCAGTTCTTGGATATAAATGAATCTAAAGCTCTTATTGTGATCACATGATTGGCATTAACAATAATAAAAGGAAAGTAGAGAAAAAAAAACCTATTTGTCAAAATTCTTTGTATTTTTTTTTTTTTTTTTTGCCACCTGGCATGACATGTTGGCTGTTACTGTACAAATGAACAAACACTTTCTTTGTGGCCTTTCCGTTTGGACAAGTCTGGTGTACTGTGATCTGTTTATGGATATTATGTTGACATCCTATTGAGGTTGTTTATGGTTTTTGATGTCTTTTCAAAGCTGTTTGATCATAGCTTAATCTCTTACAGGCATTTCTGTTTTGTTTCTTTTATTTTTGTGTCTTCTTTTCTTGATGCGTATTTGTTTACACAGTTTTTGGATGCTCTTGATGTGATTTGTTGTGACAGGGTGTGGAATTCTGTGGTGACTTATGATGAATAATTGATGATATAAAAATCATTCTACACATACATTTGCATACTTGGTTCAGTGGTCAGACTAGAAGCAAGTTGGTGAAGAGGTTTGATACAAAGTGCTACTGGGATAATTTACTCCTAATTAGATTAAACAAAAATAAAAATCTTAAATCAATAAGTGTACACATGTCCACCTTAAGTTATTTGACATCAGTGGCTAGTGTACTGATGGTGATGGGGTTTAGGCTATGCTGATCACATAGGTGGTATAAAAATGATCCTGAACAAATCGGCAATCATTATCAAGTGTTCTAAGAAGTAAGAGACAAGATAAATGTTTCCAAAACAGAATCTATGATCTGGAATTTGAATGAAAACAATTATGGCACATCCTCTTAGTCCATCATAAAAATTCAGAATGTGTAATTAGTGAATACTAAGCACCTCAAATACATATGTGTATGGATAAGTTAACAAATTGAGTATAGGAGATAAGAAAATGGAACATAGGATAGATTGTGGTAAGGCTAGTTTTGATCAACACTGCAAGATGCTGCTAAACCAAAACATTAACCTAAGAACTTGAATCGTGTTCTGATATATCATCGTCAGATCTAGACTCTTATATGGATGTCAAATGGGGATTTCAATTTGTTCAGAAATGTCTAAAGTCATCTATAAACTGTTTTATCAGATCAATGATTAAAAATGGCTTCAGGCAAATGAATCCATTTAGGACTTAAAAGAAAACAATCCTTCATCAGACTCTCTAGATTATCACTACAAAAATCACAAAGAGCTTTATCAAATAACAAGAGAGATCAATTGAAAACTTCCAATAGCAACAACAACAAAAATAGGTAACATATGTAGGTAGAAAGGAAAACAAATGGTGAGAAAGTAAACTCCTATCAAAGAGCTATAACATTTAGTGAACTTAAGAGTTATTTTCCTGAAAACCTGTTTGATGGGAAAGATTTTATAAATTTTAATCAGCAGTGATGTTTGGTCAATGAATACCCAATGTTTATATCATCATCAGTGATTGTAGTGTTGCTGTGTAGCTGAGCACCTCCCTCCAAATGCTGTGGTTGCATGTTGATGTCTGGGTCTTTGTGAATGATCTTCCAGTCTACTCAATGAGGGTGTCAGGCCATTTTTCCCTCTGTCTACTTCCTCTTTTGTGTAAGGTGGTACCTTGCAGGATGACAGTGGAAAGATTATTGGCTCTTATAACATATTCATGCCATTTCAGCTTTGATGGTGGATATGAGGTCTTCCATTGGACCTGATTTTGTTTGATGGTGTCACACACTGCATCATTTCTGATGCTGTCTGCATAAAAGAATCTGTGTGTGCTTCTGTCATATCTCATTTCTAATGGTTGGATTATTCTACTGTTAATGTCCTAAATTTGCAGGCATACAACAATCTGATCTTTGATTTCAGGTAGATGTTCTTGCCCTTCCAGATGTTTCTTAGTTTTGTGGCAGTTGTCATTGTTTGTGCTGCTCTTGATGGAAACTTGTATTCTCTGTACGGAAATGACTAATCTCCAAATATAAATCATTCTCACACCTGTTGTAGAAACCCTTCTTTGATTGACCATGTCTTCAGTTGTAGCTGTACTCATCACACTTAGCCAATTGCAGGTTGGCGAGATTATTTTATCCATAGTTGGCAGTGTTGGACCCAGTCTGGCTATAGGACTCAGTCTGTTCATAGCTGGGTGTAGAAGAGATGATTTTATGCCTTTCTCAAGGTTAATTGCAAAATAGTGAATGTGATAAACTTGCCTGAAACTTAAACTTGGCTTTCAGATTCCTCAACCTGCTATCAATTACTGAACTGTTACATCAAGGGGTAGATTCTATGGATAGGAAGGAAAGATAATGGTTAACTCCAGACTTGAACAGGTTAAGATTGTAGTGATCAGGGAAACATCCTCTTGGGAGTCTGTTCCACAGGGCAGTGGTTCATGGGAAGAAGCTGTTTGAATAGAACTTACTTCTCACCAATGGAATACAGAGGAAATGTGAGTGGTTTGCTACTATGTAAGTGGCATGGCAGTTCCTATCCGCGAAGGTTAGACCTGGTGAAATCAAGGAATGTAGTTCTTTGAGCACTTACCTGTGCCTCCATAATTTCACTATTATCATTTAATTGTTCATTGTGAGAAAGTTGGGAGCAGAATGGATCTCTTCACCTGATTGGTAAATGTTTTTTCCTGTTGATTTACTATCCATGTTAATGATAATTTTTTAATTTTTTTTTATTTTACCAATGATTTTTCATGTATACAGTTCAAGTCATGTAAATCAGTTACATGATATTCAAGTTGTATAAGTCTTGTGTGCTTGTGTACATATTAAATGTCTATTTAAATACACATACTGTCACATCAGAGAACTTTCTTATCCCACTAGTAAAGAGAGTAGAAATATAAGAGGAATAATGGAAACATTCCAAGATTGATAAGAAATGCTAAATTCTTCAAAACATCCATTGTCTTGCATAAAGAGAACAAATTTCTAGATCATTTCTTAGCACTTTTTCAATACCACCTTTAATCAACACAGCATGTTAGAGTAATATTCTGCAATAGCTAAATATAGTCAGTCATTAAAATACTTTTATTATCTTAAAAAACCAAACATTATGGTCAAGGACTTTTGTAAGTTTTGGGTCTTGAATTTCTTGGACTATAGACAACCAGCATGAGTTGTTTGATTTGCAGCAACAAATTCTTTCCAAAAATGATCACCATGTCACTGAAAATTATCAACTTTCAGATGCCTTTTATATTGTTTCTTGTTGGCATTCAGACATTTTGACACCCACTTTAAAAAAAAATAATTTCATACTCAGTAGCTTTTATCCATCTCTTCTCATATGAAGAATGTAATATTACATTTACTATTATGTTTCATACAAACACTTTATATATAAAGAGGCAGACTAAGTATGGTTGGAGTTAAGTTAGTTTTTGATGGTTGCAATTGTTTTGAAGTCAAAAGATTTGAACATTTGAAGTTGAAAAGGGCTCTTAGGAAAGGTGATGTCAGCTCACAGAAGATATTCAGTCTAAGCTTGTATATAAAATCTGTGGAAAGGTTCTTCTAAGATTCCATGAAAATCAGTATTACTGACTACAGACCTGTGGGGTACTTAAATCAGTTTTTAATAAGATTTGCAGATCTGATGCTGAGATGAAGTGACACAAGAGAGTGTACAAGGAGAAAGTCATTTTCAAGACTTTCCAAAAGTCTTTCTTGTGTCACAAGATGGCCTTTTTCTGTAAAGAAGTACAGGTTGAGTATTCTTTATTTGAAATCCAAAAGTGTTTCAGGTGCTAACATGATTTGCCACTAGGTGATGTGCAGCTGTTGTAAGTGACCTTATCTGGTTCCCCGGCCCGGATATGTAGCCTATGTTAGTACCAGTTTTTTTTGTTAGTGATTATCACAGCAACATCTTCATTCATGGATTGCTTACCAGGTGTTTTATGCTCAGTAAAGATATGATTAAAAGTGTTAAATAGTTTTGCATTTATATGTTTTGTAAGTAGTGATCATGTCTTTTTTTTTTTTTTTTTTTTTTTTTTTTTTTTTTGGACACATACAGAAAGTACAAAACATTATTTTTACATGAAGTCTTAATTTCACCACTTAAAATTCTGTATGAACATTATATGACTAGTGCCATTACCTGTATTTACACAAAATTTATTGAATTTTTTTATATAAAACTACCATTGGGTGTATGTATAAACTGTTATGAAATGTAAAAGGATATCAGGTTTATGCTTGTGTTCCATTCCCAAGATGACACATTTTATAGATGCTATATTCAAATTAAATAGCCTGTATTCCAAAATCACAAAAAGTCTAAAAACTGAAGCACTTCTGGTCCCAAGAATTTTAGATAAAGGCTTCTCAACTTGTAGCAGGTGTGTGTA